TTTTTTTTTGTAATCTGTATCTTGCGAAAACCCAGGCCCACAGGTTATGTGAACTGAGTCTTGGACATTTTGCTTAACATGGTATTAGTTTTGCGGCCTTCAGTTTCAAGTTGTCTAACTATGTGGTTTAAAATTTTATAAAAATTTTTGCAGCAGGTATCTTGCGATGGGTTCCAAGTTTGACTCATAATTATAAACGGCGTTCAGCAGTCTAGGTTATCATTAACTATCTTTATTCTAAATCTCTCTTTCGCTGTGTTTGAGCGTAAATTCGGGCCCTCAACTTGTAAGATTATCCGCATAAAAAAACTCAAAACTATCGGAGCACAACAATATTTAGCTTAGGATTGCATCTCGATATAAATCAACATCTGTAGCTGTTGGTTACAGTGCCACTAGTTATCCTACCATTACCTCTCAGAGCTTTATGTAGATGCAGTTGTTTTAAATTCTTCAATATTTTTCGTTGACTTATTTTACTTAAGATTTCGTCGGCGAAGTGCTATATGCGCATGGGATATGTCAGAGGGAGCTACTGATGCTATATGTATCCGCGTGGAAGGTGGCCGTATCTCGCTGAGAGGAATTGGCGTCTATCTTCATGCTGAACAAGTGAGAAGGACATGGCAGTGCGAGGTGAGATTGGCCTTTGCTTCTGTCGACTCAGTATCTTATTTGTCTTGTAGATTCACGTGCTTCGCGATGGGGACCAGTTTTCTCTACTAAGTAAAACCAGCTGTGAACTAAGTAGCGGAGGTACAGTTGATACTGGTGTAATTCTTCTGCCTGACTCGGTAACATTATCCGTTGGTGTAACGTACGCTATCAAAGTGTGGACCCCAGAAAATGGAAAGACATATTGTGGCGAAGGTAACCCATTTTTGAAAATAGTTGAAGATGTTAGTGATGTAGGAGCTCTGGGAAGTAATTTTAGGCGGCGTGAATTACATCCGTCTCAGCAATGGCGCACGAGTAACTTTCTCCTCCTGCCCTCTTAGCGAAAATGGGACTTCGCTCCAACGTGGACAGATACCTTTTTTTCTTTACTCCGTTGTTCAGTCAGAAAAATGTGATACAAGCCAAGCGAAGGATGAAGTAAGTGTCTTAGGTTGC